CATCCCAGGAAGAAGCTCTCAGACACGGCCTCAGAGATGCGGTGGTTCCAGATGTGCTGCTGGGAGTTTTCCGCCTTGAAATCAGCAAATATCTCGTACCCGGTGTGGTGCCTGGGCAGCTCCTCGCTCTCTGACACCGCGGCTGCATCGGCGGCCTCAGCGGCTCCATCTCTGGCCAGCACTATAGCCAGGGAATGGGGGGCGATCTGCAGGAAGGACTCCATTACGGCCTGTTAGCGGCTGGCTCTATGCCTCCATGGGGCCGCTTCACTCACACTGGAAGGCGGGCAGAGAGCAGCTGTTAGCCGGCCATGCGGCTAACAGCTGGGCAGCCCCCGCATAGCCCTGCTGCTAGCCTGCTAGCTAACCCCGCGGAGCTCCTCAAGGTTGCATTAAAGTCATTTCTGTCCCTCTAAGCAGCAGAGTCGTTCAGGGAACACCTGCTTTCTACCGCTAACATCGGATCAGGAGCAGCCGCGCGCTTTGCTAGCTCACACAGCAGCTAGCTACATGCTAACGCGATGCTAGGTCACCCAGGCAACAGCTGCGCGAGCTGCCCTCCGCAGCTGGAAGGCACGCGCCTCTTTGTTCCTAGCCCTCGCGAGGTGTGGAGCAGTCCGAGCTGTCAGCGCGGAGCAGCTGAGTCCTGCTGGGCAGCATCCAGCCTGACGCCATAGCTGGACGCTCAGCACGCTCACCTTACGTCATCACGGCGCTGCGTCACAGCGCGTCATCACCGCCCGCAGCCAGGCTGCTAATTAAAGAAGCAGGATTTAGCCAAACTCAGTGATCGTCCTGTTTCCTGTTCTGTCCTCTCATTCTAAATGTTCCTGCTGGCAGAGAAAGGAAGTCTGAACCTAATCTGATTGTTTGGATTCATTTAGTTCAAATCTTTAAAAATATAAAAGCATTGCTTCAAAAGAGAAGAGAATGATCTACTTTGTTCCTGTGTGTATCCGTCCCTCTGTTTGCTGTCATTCATGTCAGGCTGGTTAATGACGCCGGCCTGTTAAAGCTGATGTCTTCCATCTAATTAGGACAGTTCCTCCACCAGGATAAAAGGTTATTATGTTCATTATAAAATAAAATGCAAGAGCGGATCATCTCTGGTGGATTGTCCCTGATCTGGAACATCACCTGGATATGGAGGCAGTGATGTCTCCTCATTCATAAACATCTGCTTTAATGATTTAATCTATAAGAAGTTTCTCCTCGCTGTTATCCAGGAGTGTATTCCTGACCAAGCGAGTCTGATGGTCGGAGTGAGATCACGGTCATTTAATATATATAGGTTAGAAAGTGTTTGTTCTCTGTGATTGGCTTCTCTGGAAAGAATCCTGAGAAAGCTTGAAGGTATGGGCAGCAGAGGCAGAGATGCAGCGACATGATCCACAGACACCTCAGATGGCCCTCGCTGGGGGGAGAAGCCTGGATGTGTTCTAGGTGGAGCGACACCAGCTGGAAATCATCCAGCTCTCCGCCACCATCGCCTGGACTCTGGAAAGCAGCTCCTCCAAAGAGGCTGAACTCTCTTTTACTCTGGAATGGCCCACAGGAGATGTGGAGAGTCGGGATGGGTCTCCCCCCAGCTCACCCGTCACATGCAGGAGTTCACAGCCTAAAGCTGTGGCTAACAGTCCTTCACTGTCTGTGGGGGCAGAAACCCCCAACCGTGGTGGTGGACGACAGGGAGGCCGTCAAGATGAAGGAGGAGACGTATGGAGCCTGGTTGGCTTGTGGAGTCCTGAGGCAGCGAGGAGGCTTCATGAGGCCAAGTGTGCTTCTGCCCATGATGTTTGCAGAGACAAAGACTCAGGCCTGGAGATGGAGAGGACATGGAGAAAGACTACAGACCGACCTCAAAGCCATGCTGCCAAACCATCAGGAACCCACTGAGGGGGGAGCAGTGCTTTGCTAAGCATTTTTAGTGGAAGTTGCTGAACTTAAATGAGAAATTCATTAGACACCTGAAAGAATACTTTAAGGATCTCCTTAAGCCAGGTGACCTGCCCTCCATGGCGGCCGACGAGATGGATGCTCAGGGCTGCATTCATTCATCACCCAGGCTGAGCTCACACAAGTTGACAAAAATCAATAATCAAAGTCACTAATCTGGATCAGCATCCAAAGAACCACATCCTGGATCCAAGCTTCCCCTGCAGGGAGGCTGGGCGGTCCCTCAGAGAGAGGAGGAGGAGCTGGGTCATCTGAGTAGAGCTGCTTCTCCTCCAGAGGAATCAGCTGAGGAGGATCAGACATCTTTATCTGATGGACGCCTCCCTCTGAGGGGTTCCAGGGACAGCACACCTGGAGGAGGAGGAGTCTGGGTAGAAGAGGAGTTTGGGATAGAGGGGAGTCTGGGAGTCTCTGCTGAGGCTGCAGCTGCTGTGACCCCATCCCTACGGTGGCCGGGAGGTTCAAACCAACACTACAAAATCTAAAAAACTTTTACAGGTTCTTAAAACAAATGATCATTCTAGAAAACAAATATACACATTAAAAAACCTTTACAAGTTCCAAAACAAATGATCATTTCAGGAAACTAATTTACATAAAAACAATTTAAAATAAACAAAACACTTAAAGCTACAGTGTGTAACTTTTAGCGACATCTAGCGGTCAGACTAGATGCTTCTCCCCCCCAACAGTACGGCGAGCGTTACG